GGCCATCATGGTGGTCATCGTGGTGGTCATCGTGGTGGCCATCATGATGGCTATTGCCATGGTGGCCATCATGATGGCTATTGCCATGGTGGCCATCATGATGGCTATCATGGTGGCTGTTGCCATGATGGTCATCATGATGATCTCCATGGTGGTCATTATGGTGACCATAGTCATGGTGATCTCTGTGGTAACTGTGTAGCTGTTCCTCTAAAGCATTGATCTTCCTCTGCAGAAGTTCTCTCAGGGAGCTGGAATAGGAGCTGGAGGAGTTCCTGGCCTGTAGACAAAGAAAATAGTGCTTAAAAACTATACCTACCTATAAACGATCTATTACCTCCACAGAGTGAAAACATCAATCCAATCTGGTTCCGCTATACTTTGTGTACTTAAAACTGATAATCCCCATCAATGTAGTAACAATTTCTTCTACTTAAACCACAGCAATAGCAACAGAGTTCAACAGGTCCTGCTAACATTGTGGGGGATCTTCATAGAGCGTCTCAGCGATTTGTGCAGAGCAAAAATTATGTCAGCATTGACCTGGCTCACTTGAATAAAGTAATAATAAATGGGATTTTGGATTATTGCTGAAAAAAGGTCTCAAAAATAGAAATTTAGAATATGTAGGTGTTTTGATAACTAGTATAATCATCACAAATCTAAGGGCCCTTTAGGATTTTTGAAAGATTAAGTACCTTTATAGTAAAAGATCATGGTAGTATGACTTTAATGTTCCCACCACAAAGCTCCTATGTGTGGCATCATGACATTTAATGTCCCTGAAGAACTTGGGTTTCCTGAAGCAGGTATTTGGGTATTCAGTTTCATATTTTAAAACAAAATGTGAAAACATGTGTAGGACTTGCGTTAACCACAAACCTCATTCAAAACATTCCAAAAATCAATTTAAATAAGGCACTGATTTCAAGACAAGGCTATTACAAACTCATTACTGGAGAAAGATACTGACTTTAACTGCATGATTGTGACTCTTTGTCAGTTTTGTCTATTAGCAAAACTATAAAAACGATGTTAAAGAAAAGGACTGTAGGGGGAGAAAGGTGAGTGCTGGTAATAAGAGTTTTACAAGAACAACTTTGCATTTAATGCTTTTAACAAGAACCAAAGGTTATATCAATACAATAGTACAAGAGGAACTTCAGTATGACATTTAAAAGTGCAGGGGGAAAAGTTTTCTTGTCCTCTTTTTTTCCTCTCCCTCCTTCATCCTCGTCTTCCTCACCAGCAAATCCGACTTTGTTCCCTGCCAGCACACGCCACGATTAATAGCCTTGTCAGGAAGGATGAAGCTAATTGAAAGTGAGGTTGGCTAGCGCCCTTCGGTGCATGGCCAGAGGCTGGTGGTGTAGACATCCTGTTAGAGGGAGAGGCTGAGGGTAAATCCTGGCACCAGTTCTGTTTTGTCTCACACCTTCAAGTGAGATCGAAAGGGATTTTTGGCAACACTTTCCCTCAGCATGACCTGAGACCACCTACACTAATAATGAAGCTTTTACAGGCCAGTTGGCAGCCAGGTTTAAGACTCACATTATGACATCAGAATAATGAAAATGCTATAACCAAAGCGAGACAGCAAAACCACTTAAATAGTTGGGAATCTGGAAGGATTATAACAACTGTAAAAAACATCATTAAGATGTTTATTGCTTTGTAAGTTTACGTCAATGAATTTAACATTATTGTCTTTTTAAACAGTTCTGTTTTCATTTTAAGAGACCTCTAGCACTTGTCTTAGTAAGTGCCTGTATCATTTTTCTTGCTGTTGTTCAAATATGTGTTTAATGTTGTAGAGGGTCTCATTATTAATTAGTTTTTGGTGTTTGAACCCCGTGAGGGGGTTGATATGTTAATAAAGTAGTACTGGTCTGTATGAAATTTTCCCCATTCACAACAGCTATATGGGGAGTGAATTTTAATATGCTTTACATGCTGTAATGTTAACAAATCTGATAGTTGGTTTCTTTTTGTCTTGTTCAGCTTTTGATTGTACTTAGGGTATTTTGTTCTATGCCTGTTTTCTACCAGCCAAAGTTGTCATAGTAAATTATAGACACCATGGTGATTGTAGTAGGTTTGGGGAGATCAACACTCAGTCTCCCAGTCGAAAGTTATACATGTTTGGACATTCCTGTTCTATTATACTGGAAATTTGTTGGAGGACTTATTAAATAGGAATTCCACCCATCCATCCATCCATCTCTGCTTCTTATCCTTATCAAAGTCATTGGACGGCTGGATGAGAGGTGGGGTACACCCTAGCACCCTAGACTTTCTTGCTGTGAGGCAATGGTGTGCTTTGGAAAGTCTTTGAAATAACTTTCTAT